CGGCCGCTCGCGCACCTGCCCGGAGGCCGCCGCTGAGACCGCGGCGGCCACGTCCGCCGCCTTGCGCTCCTGGCCCTGAAGCTGCGACGCGTCGACCACCCGCAGGCTACCAAACCGGATCGTCAGCCCGTCGGCCACGTCACTGGCGCCGCGGGCGGCCCCTTTGGAGCTGCTGGAAGTTGCTGGGCCCTCCATAGTGAAGCACAGGACCGGCCGCTCGGGTGTGGGCAGGGGCGCCGCCTCTTGGACTTCCACAGTTGGGGCGAAGCGCACGCTGCGCCGCTCCTGGACCGCGGGGTCGGGACCGCCTGCATCGCTCCCAGCTGGGGCAGCGTGTTGCTCCTCCGGCTGCTCCAGCTGCTGCACCTGCTGCTCCTCCTGCTGCTGCTCTTGCAGGTGCTCCTGCGGCTGCTGCTGCTTCTGCGACTGCTGCTGCTCCTGCGGCGGCTGCTGCTCCTGTTCTTGCAGCTGCACCTCCGGCCGCACTTCATGCTCCGACACCGCCTGCTGCTGTTGCTGCTGCTGCGGCGGCGGCCGCAGCGGCGATGGTGGATGCTGCTCCGAGGGCTGCTCTTGCGCCTGCTTCTGGTGCTGTGCCTCCTGCTTCAGCTGCTGAGGTCTATGCGGCTCGTCTGTTGCCTGCCACCCCGGATGCCGCTGCCCTTTGCAGGCACTATCCTGCCCCCGCTCCTGCTCCTGCTGCTGTTCCTGCTGCTGCTGCTGCTGCTGCTGCTGCTGCTGCTGCTGCTGCTGCTGCTGTGGAAGCAGCTGCTTTGCAGCCGCCCGTGGCACATATCCCTCGACGCTGTCCGCCACGGCCTCCTGGGCCGGCGGCCGCGGCCCCGCAGCCCCCGGCTCCCGCTCTCGCACCTCCGCCAGCATGGTCGTCACGCCCCCGCCGCGCGCCGCGACGGCGGGCGGCGCCCCGGGAAGCGTCGGCGCCTGCGCCGCAGCCGCCTTCGGGCCGCCGCCGGGCGCGTGGCTCGGCTGCATGAGAGCGCGCTCCAGCGCGCTTGGGGAGAGGCGCTGCGCGGCGGTCTCGCCCAGCGACTTGGCCACCTGCTCCGCGAACAAGCTGCACGCGACGCCGCAAAAGTGGTCGGGGCCGCTGCGCATGACGCCGCGCGCGGCGCGGCGGTACGCGGCGCCACAGTCGGGGGAGTGGTGGGGCTTGGCGCAGAGCGGGTTGCCGCACTTGCCGGCGAGCGCGCGCTCCTCGGCCACCTGTCAGTGATAGTTTGGTCCCCAACAGGTTGATGTGCTGAGTTTCAGGTGACTTTGGGGTTCATCATCTGGCGCCGAGTGTGACAGCGCTGGCGCGCTGTGAGGCAACCCGTTATTGCATTCTGCGTGCCCCAGGCACCTGCGGCGGCCGCTGTTGGCTTTGCTGGCCGGAAGACAGGCAAGGGGAGCTTGCTGCTGTTGCCCCTGCACCCACCTGCATGAACTCCTCCCCTGTCAGGGATTCGGTGAGCCGCGCCAGCTGCCCCGCGTCGGCCGCGCCTTTGTCAAGCAGCCTGCGCAGCCAAGGGACCGGCAGGCGAGGAGCGCCGCCGGCTCAGTTGTGCATTTGCCAAACAACTTGGGTTGCTGAGCGACTGCATGGGAATGACGCATGCAGGGTTGTGGCTTCAAGCGCCGCGTCAACGCCCCACCTGAGCATGCACACGAAGACTCGCCGGTGGCGCAGGCGGGCCAGCTCTTCCGCTTTTGCCGCCGACGACTGCTGCGGCAAGCGCTTTTTGCGCTGCACACCCTCCGCGTGCTGGTGCGGTGGCTGCTGCTGCTGCCGCGTGTCGCGCTGCTGCGTTTGCTTCGCCCGCGCCGCTGGCGGTGCTGCCACAGTGACATCCGCATCGCGTGCGCTGGCGACCGCCAACCGCGGCGATGGCGCCGCTTTAGCAGGCTCCACAGCAGCGTCCTGGACAGCTGCCTCGTCCTCTGCGGCATGCAGAGTGGCGTTTAGTAGCCGAATTACGATCCGTGGGGATCCAAAGACAACAAACCGCGGCGTCCACTCACCCGCATATGTAAGTATTGGCAGGCTATATTGCGTCATTTTGCGCAGTATCAAAGCGCGGTGAGCGCCTTGCCTGGTGATCTGATCTTAGTAGTGACTTTAGCGCCGTGAAGCTGGCGCAGTTGTTGAATACATGTCGAAATGGTCGCCACATCCTTGTGCGAAGTCTCACCAAGCAAGCAAGCACCGCTGCAGGGGCACCAACTGCTGACCTGCTGCTGACCGTGTTCCAGTACCGGTACCCGGTGCAGTTTGCACCTTGCCCACGCGCTGACCTTGCCTGTGAACCCGGAAGCTGGGCCCTCGAGACACCAACGTTGATGATGATCGCTGACTTGGCTAGTACAGGCTGCTGCTATTGCTGCTTCAAAAGCAAGGCAATGGTTGGCAGCAGCGCCAGGACCTCAGGCGCTGGTGGGCGTTGCTGGGGTTGCATGCTCGTCAGCCGCTTTAGTCAAGGTTGTGACGGTGTTTTTCGAAAATCATAAGCAGGTCTGTCTTCATCACACTGGTCAGCCACCTGCAAATGTTTCACGATGATTCAGATTAACAGCATTGAGCAAGGAGCAACAAAAATACATGCAAGTCAAGCACTGACCCAAGCTTCCACATTCTACAGACAAGCATGCTGACATGCTCAAATTCATGTAGCTGCAGCATTGGGAATCGCTTGAATGCCAGGGTGCACAAAATACTTGTGCGCATGGTAGTGACACTGCAGACAAAGGCAACAAATGTGTGTGTGATGAAATCATGGGTTAGCACAAAGCGAAAGCTGTTGGTTGTTGACTCTTGGCTATTGAATGCTGGCTGTTGGGTGTGCCCGCCGCGTGCCCCTCACTTTACAACCACCCCTACGACCTCCACCTTGGCCTTGCTGCTCACGATGTTGGGGGTGCCCTCATTGTACGGGCAGTACAGAAACTTCTCGCGCCGCACCCATGCCGCCAGGCCGCCGGGGGCCATTGTCTTGAAGTCGTCGGGGTCGGCGTCGCTGGCCCCGTCGTCGTGCTCCACGTCGCTGTCGCTGTCGCTGCCGCTGTCGCTGCCGCTGTCGTCGGCGGCTGCGGCTGCGCGCTTGCGTCGCTTGCGCCTGCGGGCGCCAACACCTGTAACCTCATCCTCATACTCGCCCTCGCCCTCGCACTCGTAAGCACCTCCATACTCGTCCTCGTCCGAGTCTTCGTCCTCACCATCATCTTCATACTCGTCTGCATCCTCAAACTCCTCAAGTTGATCCTCGTTGCCCGCCACGCGGCAGTCAAAGGGGTGACCCTGCATCAGCTCGGCCCACGCCTTCTCGCCTGCTTTGTTGGCGGCGGCCTTGCTCCTGTACAGCACCAGGCCAGGAGCGGGGCCTTTCTTGGGTGCGCGGCTGCCGGGCCCGCTCCAGAACCACGTGCCGTCCATGCGGACGGCTTTTTTGTTGATCAACTCCGCTGTTTCGGTTGTCTCATCGCCATATGGGTCTGTGAGGGCCTCGTTCGAGATCAAGGCGACCCTTGTGGTGCGGCTGCATTTGACAGCATACAACGTGGCGCCAGGGGCGCCGCTGCTGCCGACGCTGGTGCCCGAAGAGGGCGTCTTGGGCTTGGCGGCCTTGGTGGGGGGGCTGGCCTTTGGAGGATTGGTCGGATGTTTCCCCTTAGCTGCCCTGCCCTTGGCTGCTTTGGCCCCGCCGGCGCCGTTGCCGCCGCCGCCACCGCTGCTGGTAGCTGCCTTGCGCTTCGTGCCCTCGGGCGGCATTACGGCTTGGTCTACTGAGCTGGCGCCGCCGTGCTCCTGGTGTGCATGCAAGCAACAGCAGAGCATGATAGCCTGTGCTGACCTTGTGCTGACAGGGGCGGTTTGTCGCGGCAAGCACGTCTCCGAGCGAGCGAGGCATGCCGTTACAGACACAGGCTCATAAACACGCCTCTTATCGCCGTCTTACCTGTGTTTGTGCGTTTCTGATGCAACCGCTACACGTCAGCTTGCAGGTCTCTGGAGTGCAGTCTCCCAATACAAGCACGCTCACAGGTCAAAACCATGAGTGCAGGCGTCTCGGTAGTCACATATGCAAATGCACTGGCAATACGTACGAAGGTTGAAAATGTCACTGGATTCGTTGTCGGCGTGTGTACCAGTAGTGCTGCACCCTTATCAATTCGATGGACGCTGTACATGGTTGATATTGAATTGATCTGTGTACGCCAACTCTGGCACAGCGATGTGCGCCAGTTGTCCAGCGACGTGCGAGTGTCCTGCAGCGTGGCCCGCACGCATTCTCACTGGGCATGCACTGCGGCGGCACCCCAAGATGACCCAATATGGCCAGGCTTCTGAGCAGGTACGCATACTAGCACCCGCCTGACTGTAGTACTCCGCCAAATGTGCAATGCAAACCACCGCCTCGAGCCCGCCCTTGAAAAACCCGCACACATGGCAGTACTGAAAGGGTGCGTTTTGTTCATGCACAGCGGCCGAGTGTTGAAAGCATGCTGGTTTGAAGGGGCTGGAGAGACTTTTCTACACGTGGTGCTTGGCTGCAGCTGCATAGACCTGCTCCAGCACACCTGGCGTGGCCTGGAGCGGACCGCGCGCGGCAACACTACATCCATTTTCCCGTCCAATGAAGGTGAGGAAGAAGTGTCAATTGTTGTGGACGTGATGGCGCGGGGCTCTTGAATATGCCATAATGGCGACAGCTGCCGAGCTGCGCGGGCAGCTGTCTCTGAGAAGACGAAGCTGCACATGTAGCCGCCCCATGCGATAAAGCGCGCACACGCTGCAATTGGTCATTCCCAATCAACCTTATATGCGCTCTTGCACACCTTACCTCCGCTTTTGCCCCACGTACTGTATCATTCGTTCTGAGTTGTTCGGTGTTCTCGGTACGTCTGGTCCGTGATTTTCAGTCGTTGCTCGTGACCCCGGAGCTGTTCATTCGGCTTAAGACTAGAGATAGAGTCAAGGTGAGCAGCGTGGGGCGCCTTCACGAGATGGGGGTTCCTGTGACGTCCACGGCAACTTCACCTTCGGTGCCCTGCCGAGGCCCTCAGCGCGGCCTGCGTGCTTGTGACAATCGTGATTATATATGTGTGCGTGTGCTGCGGGCGTCTGAGGGTGCCTGTGGTCAGATCCTCGAAGCAGGGCAACTGGGCGCCCACCTGCCCACCCGCGGATGCGTCGCGGTGACAGCCTCCCAACAACGCACACATAGGTTTCTAGGAGTCTGGTGGTAGCACAAACCTGCGTGTCGCTGTACAAGCTTCTGGCGCACCAATGTCGGTGTTCATCGGCGCTGCACTGGAGGCCAGCGCTGCGATGGCAACATGGGTCCTGCTGCAGGTGGGGCCGGCATGCATGCGTGCTGTGCAATACAACCGGCTCTGGTGGTGGAAGTCTATGCCGGCGGTCTGTGCACTCCTGCGTGCTTGCCCGCTGTAGCACGACGCTCGAGACACTCGATGCAAGCAGGGTGGTGGCGCTCTCATCAAGCTCAGCTGATTGAGCCCCTTGCCTCCTCAGCGACACACAATGGTCCCGCCTGCACACCTCTGCACCCACTCTGTAGGTGTTCCTGCAGCTTTTTGCTGTCGCCGCCAGCCTCTTTGGCCTGCAGGCTAAAGTCACAGTTCCATGCTCTGGCATGACGGAGCAACAACGCCTGTGCAAACAACCGGCGTTCACGGTACGTGAGAGCTGGTGTCGGGATGCAGTCGGGAAGCGCCTGCGTCACGCTCGAAGCACCAGGCTTTGCTGCCTCCTTGTGATGTACTGACCATTGTGGCGGCAAACCCATGCCCGCGCAGCTCAAAACGCAGGGTGAGCTTGCAGGTTTTCGCTGTTTGGCTGCCAACCCCTTGCAAGGAGCCCTTTCTTGACCTCCTGTTTCCACGCCTCCTTGCATGCCCCCAGGCACAGGCAAAGCACGAGCGCCGACTGGCACGCCGCGAGCGTGCTGTATCCAGAAGGGAGGAGGTCGTCAAAGCCTCGCTTTGCCGCCTGCGCGCCACGAAGCGGGCGGTGGTGCGGAGGCCCGCCCACAAAGCAGCGCAGCGGCAAGAGCAGAAACAGAGGAATGCGGTGAGCCGAGTGCTCTGTTGTGACGAGTGGGCTAGCTGGTGCACGCCGACTGAAATATTCCCTGCACACAATGCCCACGATATGTTGACACGCCCTTGTTGCCGCACAGCGGCACAACAGGCTGGGCACCGACCGCTTCCACGCCTGCTCAGGCGTGTGATCAGATCTCGATGCACGCCTTTGTGGGCAATTTCCATACATCCTTTCACCCCTCATGCACATGCTGACAAAGACCGATTACGCCGCCGCACACGCAGGGCGCTTCCAACAAGGGCTCCACCCCTTGCAGCGAGGAGGAGGCCAGTGCACTGCGGACGCCGCGGAGAACCCGCGACAGCGCGGTCACCGTACACGCCTCCAGCGCCCCGAAAACCGCATCTACCGCTGCCCACGCCGACGCACCCATGACCCCACATGCGGCGGCCCCGGGCAGCCCTGTCCTGCTGACGCCGACAAACAGCACCCTGGGCCGCAGCGCGTCGGGCCGCAGGCTCAGCCGCCTGAGCAGCGGCTCGCGCCGCCGCCTGAGCCGCGGCGCCAGCGGCAGCAGCTGCGGCGACAGCAGCGACGGCACCTCGCTGGAAGCCGCACCTGAGCAGCTCAGCGGGTGTGCCGCAGCGCAGCAGCATCCGCCCCTGCTGCAGCCGCTGAAGCTGCACGGCACGGCGGCGGCGCAGCTGTCCGCGCAGGAGCCTGTCTTGAGGCCGCCCACGCCCACAGCCGTGGACGCTAAGCCAGCAGCCAGGCCGTCAGGCACCAGCCTGCACCCCTTCCCTCACACAGCTGTCACCACGCCCCCAGCGGCAGCAGCCCTGCTGGTG